AAGGGTTGGTAATTGAATTAAAAAATTCTAATAACTGGTGCTTTTCCCAGACCTTCAATCATAGACGCCATTCACTCAGCTATAGCGGTCAATCATCACTTATGAGTCAGTTTCCATTTTCTCACTCATATTTTCTACTCCCACACAGGATAGCCCTAAAATGCATATTTCATAAGTCAAAACTCTGTCATTTTGCTTTGTTTGACACCATGAAAAATACAGACAAGAGCTATTTGACCAATCAGTGTGATGCAGTTTTTCAGTAAAGCACCTCTGATGTTTTTGCCTTCCTGGCATTAGACTCCATATTCAATAGCCTAACCAGGAATGGGGGCTGCAAATTAGCTTAAGCCAGAAGGAGAACCCCACAGACATAAACAGACCAAACACTCAGTAGTATCATCTGTTTTTATTGCAACAATGTCTCTAACATGGCCAATATTTTCCAACTTCATGGTTACACTAGTTCATCATTTAATCTCCCTCCCTGTCTTTCTCAGTCATGTTAAGACTACATGCAGGAGACAGATGTAGCTTGGTAAGACCCTTTACATAAATATTTAGGTTTGAAATCTGACAAACGAGCTGCACTCCAGTGTCAAGAGAGCTGTAAGCTGCTGACGACAGGAGGTGATACTTTTTGTCAGGAGAGGCAGAAATCATCAAACATCTTTCAGCGACTGCCAGGTGTGACAGTTCTCACTTTCTGCACAGGCTTCCTCTTCTCTTTACGTCTCTCTCAGCTGTATTTCACTTTTAAGCAGAGCATTAAATCTGTGGAAGTTTTTTTTTTTTTTTTTTTGAATGAGGCACAAAGAGGGGGAAAATTGGGCAAAGTGTTTCTGTGTGAGCCAGCTTTGTGTCTGATTTTGGATGCAGAATAAACAGGTATGAGTGGTATCATAATGGTTTGGATTTTGTTCCAGGTCTGTTGGAACATGCACTGCATGGGCAAGTGTTTAAAAACGTGCCGAGCCATCACGTCTGGTCTGGATCATCAGCTCAGTCAGAGCGAGGGAGGTGGAACAGGAGAAGAACCACCTGGGTAACCTCAACCTGCCCTCTGCCAAGAACACCACCAACAGGTCCAGCAGAGGAATATGGGTTTGATTTTGACAGAAGACAGCTCTATCATGTTTGCTTTGGGGTTACATGTGAAATATGTGAAATCAGTCGTGTCTATATTCTGTGATTTTTGCAGTGTGTGTGTCTTATGTGATTAGCATCACTGTCATTTTTACATCACTTTCATGGTTCATGTAAATCTGTGCTAAAGTAAATAAACATTTCTATAATTGGGTCTACGTTTAAGACAGTGGTTCTCAAGCTGGGGGGGTAGAGCCACTGCAGGGGGGGGTGTGGATGTCTAGTGGAAAAATATGTAGGCCTAATGGAACTTGAAGTTGAATTATAATGATTTATGTAAGAAAAATAAACAAGAGTTTACTGATGCTCTCGTGCTGATCTTTATTTCACTGAAGTTCAACAGGGATCCATTTTTATCAGTTGCTTCCCCTATTGTTGTTAATAACTAATAAAAACTGGGGGGTGGGGTGGGAGGTGTGTGAACTTTATTTTGGCTTCTGAAGAGGGACATGGCAGAAAAAGCTTGAGAACCACTGATTTGAGATGTTTTCATGTGCTTTCTCTTTTGTTTCTACATTCAGACTGACATTTTCTTAAACTGAAAAACAGCTTGAACTGTTGGACCTGTGTATTGGCTGTACTGCTAGACTTGCAGCAGCAGGACCAAACAGCTGTGCAGTTTAGGGCAGCAGGCCATGGCCCTGTATGTTTTCTATCTGCAGTGGAATTTATATGAGCCCGGGGTTACAAGCACATGAATGGGCCCCAGTGTGCTGGTTCTGTTTTGACGTCACCTCATCAGTGCACATGGGCTACACTCATCAAAACTGGGACACACCATGGCCCGTGTGTATTTCAAAGGCAACCCAGGCCCCATTTGAAGCACCAGTGTGTTGATTTGAACAATGGACAATTTATCTATCCAATGAAAAACAAAATTCTACCAATAATTTCCTGTATTTGTATTTGTATTAGAGCACCTGCTCTGTGAATGTCTCTGACTCTTCATGTTGAGCCACGTCATACAGAATATGTTTAAGTAACCTTGAGTCTGATGACTCAAAATCCCATCTCAGACCACAGGAAGTCTTGCATCATAGGTATAAAGTTTGTGTTTGACCTAGCTATATGTTTCAATATAGTTAGGTCTAGTAGTCAATAGTAACTAGTCTAGTATAATGGTATAGTTATTATTAGTAATATTAGTATATCATGCTATAGTTATAATATAGTATATAGTAGTAATAAATGTTGTTTAATAATAGTGTATGTTCATGAGTCAAAACAGTAACACCACACACAATTATGAAATCTTTGTTCACATATATTTTATAACATTTTGAAGTACATTAAGTACATTTTAGAAATAGAAGCTACAGTTTATAAAACCTTTCCAGCAGAAATCATTGATGGGCCAGCATCAGCCTTTTTTCTCTAGCAGACAGGTCTATTTTCTATATAAAAAAGGATTAAAAAAACAAACAAACAAACAAAAAACAAAAAAAAATAAAAAATAAAATAAAATCGCTACATTTTTTTGTCCTGCGCTACCTTTAAATTCCCATGAAAGCACCAGCTGTCTGCATCTCTTGTCTTTTATAAAATATAAATTATTGAAAAATATTCAAATGTTTGTGAACTAAATACAATAAAAATGATCTCATAAAAAAAATACGGAGACACTATAAAATATACAAAAAAACAACATCAAAAACAAAAGAAAAATGTTTTTCCTTCTGAATCCATTCTGAGATATGCATATGCCACAATCTATTGGTGTGTATACACTTGCCTGACTAAGGTTCATTAATACATAAGACCTGCAGTAATCTGTGACAGTTAACAACAGTATGTAACAGTATGTTTCCTGACAAAATAATTTTTCAAAATATGAATGTTTTAAGTAACAGAAGGTTTTCTTTGAGCACACTGATCTCATGAAGTCAACCATACAAACATTATGACCTTGTGTTGGGGCATCAGCAATCATTAGAAATATATTTAAAGCTCTCTTTAACATAAAACACTGACATCAGTAAAAAAAAAAAAAACCTGAACAAAACAGAAAACAGTGTTTTGAAACCTTGACACCAACATGCAGAACAGAATGAAGGTACAGTGAAGCTTATTACTAATTCATTTGTTGATTTTCTTTGTGTCGGTTGGGTGAAGGTTTGCGAGTCAGTGCTTGACAATGGTGGACAAGTTTGTTACCAATTAAACATTATGAACATATACAGCATCTCGTTCCTGCACTCAGTGGGAAACCCAGGTCAGCGAAGGCGTTTCTCTTTGTCCTAAAGCTGTGTGCTTTCCAACATGTTAACAAAAGATAAAAGAAAAGTCAACACTTTCCAAAAAACGTGAGAGATTTCTGGTCCCTGTCTTCCAACACTATGGACGATACATGAAGCACTGTGGCCAAAGACCTCACATGGGTTTTGGTTATTATTCCTGCTTTGTCTCTTGCTTATTTGTGTAATCTGGGTCTCAATAAAGCATTATGAAATACAATCTGTACAAATAGACATCTCAAAAGCTATTTTCATCCATATGGGTAACATTCAGCCACTGTAAACAATAACATTATATTCTAAGATGATTTTTGACTTTGGCATTTCCCATAAGGCCAGTGTACAGCCACTGTTCCCACTGTTGGGAGGAAACTGCTGCCAATTTGCTCAAATGTAACCAGTGAATGTCTAAGCATGTATTTTTGAGCAAACTACACAAATACGGGTGGAATCATACATGAGTTACTCACTATGAACTGAACGTTATTTTGTTCATAGATAAGTAGCACACAAAGCTAAAAATGAAATACAAATGTTTGTCACTAGTCCTACACGTCTCTTATTTGCATTCGGGTTTCCACGGAAAGCTGCATTCGACCTTGATGGCAGTGGCACAGTGCACAGCCCACATAATGCAAACCCCCAAGCAGTGCCAACTTGCATCGTCTCTGTCAGTCCTCTTCCTCACAAGTGATCATCATCTGTGGGATCCACACATTTCTTTCAGTCACCTTCATCTTCATTTATCCCGCCTCTAATTCTCCCTAGTCAACATTTTTCTATTGCCTGTCCCTTTTACCTACACTGTACCTTCACACTATTCTGCAGCCACTTCCTTATGGCCAAAATGTACTGCATAACGAAAGAAACAGTAATCTGACATTCTTAGGATTTTGTAAAATCACTCCCTCAACAACTCCATCTGTGATTTTATTGTACAGACAGACACATAGACTATTCAAACACTTCTAAAGCAACGCTAACATGGACAGTGAACCGACAAACTATGCATCTAATCTGCACATTGAACAACGCTTCTTACCAAAGACTCCTGATTTTCCCCACATAGATTGTCTACAGTTTGCTAATACTGGTGGTATATGCAAAAATGCATAAGTTTCAGTCACAATATGTGTCTCGAACAAGGTGGCAAACATGTACGTAAAGGTGAAAGCGTCAGTTTCAAACGCAACGGCTACTTTCAGTTGTCTTGTCAATCAGACGGCTCCTGGTATGAGTAATCATCATCACCAGGTCCTCACACCCTATAAGAGCACAGGGCCAGTGTCTATAGTGTTGTCTGATAACGAATCAGCACATTTTCAGTTAAAGGCTCCTGGAGAAGGGAACAGTTAAACTTCTGATGGTATCTAATATTTGGTTCCACTGTGATACCTTCATTTACAACGTAAGAAAAAATAATCTTTCCAATATATGCCTGCTAGGTAGGTTTACATTGGGTGTTCTCAACATTAATAATACAATACTGGCACAAGCATCTGCTTCTTAAACAACAAATTATAAACAACACTTTTTGGTCCAAGCTGAAAACTCTCTCCTTGCCAAAGAGAAACAGTGAACGTAATATCTAAAAAATGACATTAAACCTTCCTCAGTTCATTTTTTTTTTTTTTTTTACATTTTGGCAACCATTTTTCTTAGCGGGAACTTTCTGCCCCGCTGTGCTCGTCTCCCCACTGTGCTACTTAGGCAGAATGGAACCCGAACTCTACCCGATAGCGCTCCATCTGCCTTGAGCTGCTAAATAATACCGGTATATATCACACATACGCACGCTCACACACACATGCGCGCACACACATCTCAACTGCAACAGAGTATGAATACAGGCTTTTGGGTTGTGCCTTCTTTTGAAAACATGGTCTGAGAGACAGGAGCTCGAAGTTGACAAAGACCACAGTTAGCCGTTAAAAACATTTTGGTCCCCAAGAAAAAATGGTTTACCGATGCTATCAAACAGTTAAGACCACTTTATGAGCCCCAGTCCATGTGGCTCCTTAACGTTTGTCCTCACTTCCTGTTTCAGCTTCACTTTCACTCGTCCGTATCAGGCTTTACGTCCAACATTGCGTGCAGCTCCTCGGGAGTGTACCCCAGCAGGCTTTTTAAGTCACAGACAAAGCGGTAGACGTAGCGTTTCCCCGATGTCTTGTGGATGATATTCTTGTCGTAGTAGTAGCGCAGGCCACGGCTCAGCTTCTCATAGTTCATTTTGGGCTTGTTTTTCCTCTTGCCCCACCTCCGGGCAACCTGAAACAATACAGGGAACAAAGCGGGGTCAAGATGTGTCATTAACAGTTAGAAAATCATTCAATAAAAGTTCAGTTCAGTTCAGTTCAGTTCAAGTCACATAAAAAAATAAAATAAAATCTTGTAATCATCAGTAAATGTCATTATCCACATGTACATCCAAGGCCAGTACTTTGGTGTTTCAGTATGACTAAGTCATTTTGAAATGAATCACCACTGACGTGACACCTGCACAGTTTAACTATGAATGTAGCCAAACAAGGCAACGCAAACACCCTGACAACGTAAGAAGATATCTTGTTCATCTGCTTAACTACTGAGGACCTCCCAGCACGTGTGCCGGTGACCAGCAGTGTCGCGACCTCTCACCTCATCTGGGTCGGAGAGCTTGAACTCCCAGCCGTCGCCTGTCCAGCTGATGAAGGACTGGCAAGACTTGTCGGTCAGCAGCTCCAGAAGAAACTGCCACAGCTGGATGGGGCCGCTGCCTGCACAACAGATGTGGGAGAGAGGGAGGTGTGCATTTAAAGACGAGCTGTTTACACTGAGAGGACACATTGTTGTTGGTTGCTCTGGGGGTTTAAGTAGCAAAGTGTGAGCTCAGGGAAAAGATATCAAGATCCAGATTCAGGGAGCACTCATGTTCTATTTTCCAGTGTCCCAAAGCACTGGATTATATTTAAAGATACAGTACATTGCATCTATCTGATGGTATATTAATGCTAAATGAAGCAAGGATAAAACAGAAAAGAGACTGACAATACTTGAAAAGCAAAGTAAGAGCAAAGAAGGTAAAAAGGAGGCAAAGATCTCTACAGTATGAAAGTGTTAAATATTCATGCCAATTATTCACTTGTGTCTGAAGAGGGGCAAAGTAAACCTTCTAATCTGGGTCAGACTGAAGTACAGCAATGGAACCAAATGTCCTCCTAAATACAACAGTCCCATTCATCATGTATTCCCTTGTCTGCCAGTTGCCCTGTGCACTATGTGAATCTAGAGTCTGCGTTCCACACTGATGAAATCACTAGTTTAAAATAAGAGAGGCTGCCTTCGGCAACACATCTCCGAGACTTGAATACAGACTGTGTGTGTGTGTGTGTGTGTGTGTGTGTGTGTGTGTGTGTCTGTGTGTGAGAAAGAGTGCAGTTGCTAAGTCATCTGAAATGTTACAATGGAATGTCTTTTTCATGAATGAAGAGTAATATAATAACCTTGTAAAACCAAACTTCAGTGTTATTACATCTCATGGAAAAAAAGGGGGGAAAGCAGAACAAAGATCAACCTAAAAAAGGGGCTGGTTCTGTCTCTGAACTAGATTCACAGAAGTACACTTTGATCTTGTGGTTTTTCAGCATATACACTAACCCACCCACTTTTGAGGCTCGCATGTTGAAATCACACCTGCCTATGCAGCACACCGCCTCAGCAAAATGAGGCTAGGCAAAAGTTAGCTTTTCTAGAACGCCTCAAAAACCCAAATATACCCTCATACAACACAAACAAAAGCTTTCAGGGACACAGACGCGTGGGTTGAACACTCGAAATGGCGTCTCAGAGCCCTCTTTGCTTCTGATAGGATTCGAGAAGGTGCATGACAACAGCCACCCCAACTTTGGAAAATAAGTGGCTCCGCAACAGTGAGTCTCTTTCAGACTGAAGTTCTGACTCGCATTCCAAAAGTCTGCTACTGTAACAGCGAGCCCTCATAAGGGTAATACAGTGCCCGTTTACCAGCCCCCTGTGCTCTCACGCCAGAATGTTGGCGACCCTCTGACAAAAAAAAAAAAGTTTCCAAAAATATGTTTCAAGTCTCCATGTACAATGGGCCTCATTGAAATAGCATACAGTGTGGCAAAAGGGGTGGTTAGGGTGGGGGCTTGCATTCACAGCAGCGTTAAGTATTTGACCCATGGCATGCGAAATGAGTCTTGATCATATGCAGCTATAAACAGGAAAACAGGATTCATCTATGAATTATTTCAACCCAAGTTCAACTCAAAGGTGTTCCAATCATGATTAGCATATTAGAGAATGTGTGACCAATGTGGTGCTTTAACTTGATAAGTAACTTTAACAATAAATCCTTTTTTAACCACTTGACTGAATCTAGTGGTAATGCAAATGAAATCCCCTCTGTGTGTGTTTGGACTTGAGAGACAGAGACAAAGAGGAGAGAGACAGCAAAGTAGCACGATACAGACGGTTTACAATGTTGTGAGGCAGCCTGATGTTAGTGTATACAGAGGTGTAAATGGCGAATTGTCACAGGAAACCACGGAGATGACAAGTAGAGCCTCACTTATCTCTCTGTAGCCTTATCAGGCTCCCTGTCCTCGCTACAAGTGTCACCTGTCACCCCGTGACTGAGACAGGAAGCCAAGCAGAGCAAGCTGTCAAGCTGTCACAAACATCAATTTGAGATTTTTACAAAAGCCTGTTTCTTTATTTTGAGGTTTGATTTCTTTTTTTTCTTTTTTTTTTTGGTTGAGGTTTCTCTCTCTCTCTTGCTCTCCCTTTCTTCCCCAAATTCTTCATCCACCCACACATATGCACATGGGCACGCACACACATGTACACTCAAAAAATGCTTCCATCTGTCAAGGACTACACTCTCCTTACACTGCTCCTAATAACAGCTATGACCAGAGCAGGCTGCTCGACATTTTTCCTTTCAGGGAAATTGGGGTGATTTAGCATGATTTTTTTTTCTTCTTCATCTTTCCCTTTTCCACATTGTATAAAGGCACAGAGGAAGCACATTCTCACATCCTCAGTGTGCATTAGGCTGGAGACACTCGCAATGCTTTCACATATGAGCTCTTTGGTGTCATCTGTGCTCTCTCTGTCTCTCAATAACTGATATGTGTCAGACGTCACAATTAAAGTGGCAAATGGAGTCTGTGGAGTGTTGTGATGTGCATTTGAAAAGGTGCTGGAGGAAGATATCTCCACATGCTTTGGTTTACGTTTTGATAGAGCACAGATTTCTGTCAAAGCAAATAAAATCATAAAGATTTGGTCATAGCTTGTTTAAAATCTCAGGTATTAGAATCTCTGCAGTAAATGCAGAATGTTTGTCAGGCCAAGAGTCCTATTTACATCTAACTATATCAGCTTATGCATTATATTTATTCTTATGCATTCATTTTTAGTTTATTCGTTATGTGAAGTGCTTTCAGACTGTGTCTTACTCATTATTTGATTATATGTACATTACGACATCTTTCCGACATCATCGCAAATGAATGACTCATTGTTCTATAAGCGGCTTTTGAACTAATAACCATAGAGATGACCAATTAACTTGCGCATACCAACTTTGGGACAGTCTATTGAGATCTGATGTATGCATTGTTGGTGACGTTGGAGATTTGCTCGGAGTTCCCCTTTTTCCAATGCTGGCAACCTCATAGCCTTGTGACTATAATTTAAACACGGCTGAAAAAGTCCCCAAACACTTCGGTGTTAAGAAGCGACTCAGTGTTTTCAGTGGAACCGTTCAACACGCTTTACACTCCAATTTTTAAACAGCTACTTGTGTCATAAAGATTCAACTTGAACTAAAATCATTTACCAGTGTCCACAAAGATTTCATATCTATTTTCTGATGCAACACATGATTTGGAAAGTTTGCTCTTCATATGTTAATGTAATATTTAACACGTATTAAAGCCTTTAAGTTATTTATATCAGTTTCCTAGGTTCATATAATCTTAGAAACAGACTGTTAAAATGCACATCCTGCGAAACTGTTAAAAGTGGTAACAGTAGGAGTTTTTTCATGCACATTTTCAAACCAAAAACCATGTCAGATGCTAAAATAGTGCATTTGCTTTAGAGGAGCCTGCAAATATCTCCACATCTAAAAGAAGTTGGAGAACATACTTTACATACACCGGTTCTTTGAGCGTGTACGAGTATGAAGATGCGCCATGAGATGAAGAGATAATTTTTTCTTGGTGTTATGTGCAGGGGCAGACATGATTTTTATGTTACACCAGCGTTGCTAGGACGACCCAGAAAAAAAAAAAGAAAAAGAGGTTGAGATGTGGGCTGCAGATAACAAGGAGGTAGATGATAAGTGAAGACAGAACAAAAGACTGAGAGAGATAGAGAGGATAAGAAGAAGGAGAAGAAGGTGCGAGCGAAATATGTTTTGTTTCCTGTAATGTGCATGACTTGTGCTGCCTTGGTAAAAGATGTTTTTTTTTTGTCTTAAAGCAGTGCATTAAGGCACCCCCACATCTGGGGCTTTTGCAGAGCATCAACAAGTGTGTTACATCTGAATGTTGCCTCTCATAGAACTGGTGGAGGGAATTCTGCACCATGTGAGAATGTTTCACCCCCCCCCAAAAAAATAAAGAAAAGTCGTGCACATAATAGTTTGGGGTTTAATTTACCCTGATTTTGAGATATTCGCTGCTGAGATTTCTGCAATACATTCAGAGAAAAAGACAAGTTGACCTTTTAATTGAGCTTTTGTGTCTTTATGTTTATAGAGACGAATGATCTAGTCTAGGCACAGTTCAAGGCTATAACATTCTTTTTTTTTCGTCATGCACAAGAGTGAATGTCAACAAATGGAATCTTTTGAAGCAAGACATGATATCTTAAAAGTCTTTTGATGGCATGCAGACACTACCGGGATCATAAACCCCACTATTATTATATGTATAACTATTGTAAATAAATAAATAATGCAGTTCTACATTTTGTAAAGTTTGTGTAAATTAGGATTAACGTTGTTGGTTACCCTGTGATTTTCCTGCCATGACAGTTTAAAAATGTCTGCTGTGAAAAGAGTTTATAAAATGCTGCAGCACTTGTCGGGGTAGGGCTTTATACAAAAAATTCTAATGTATAAACTCTGACCTCTACACATCTTACCTGTGTATCCTGCCAGAGCCGCTGCTGGGATGACGGGTTTATCCTTGCTGAGGTCTGAGCGCTCCCTCACATAGTCTTTGAAGGTGCCCTTGGGCTTGTGGCCGTGCAGGGCGGTGGGGTAGTCTTCCGAGTCGAAGCTGTCATACGAAGGTACTCGCTGCAGGCTGCTGAATGAAGACTGGCTGCTCCACGACTGGGTCAATCGGTCACAGCTCTCAAAGCTCTCAATGCTCTCAAAGGAGTCCTGGCCGCCGAGCTTACCTGAGATGAAATGGAAAGAGGGTTCAATTTTTAAATAAAAGTTCTTGCAAAAGCAGCAAACTGTACATTTTATAGCATATTGTATTCTTAAAAAACACTGAAGCCTGAATTTGTAATGTGCATGACATTCTTTTCTTCTAAAGATTTATGTGTATTTTGGTGAACGTAAACTGTCACACATTACGTCGCCTTTGACAAAGGAGCTATGTGTATGGAAGTGACATAAACAATACCTCAGGAGTAAATTATATTCCTGCTCGCTAAGCTATAGTTTTCAGTACAGTGCCACATCTCTCTCCATTTCACACCTCATTTCACGTGCACAACCACCATTCGAGTTTGATTTTAAATGGAAGACAATCACACAAATTGCCTTGCTATTTTTGGCCTTGGGAAAGATAAGAGGAGCCTTTCAATGGTGAGTCATTAACAAATGACAGATAATGCAGCGCCTCGATTGATGCCGAAATCTTCCAACTCCTGAAATTGAAGCCACATGTGGATATCAGTTGTGTTGCAAAAAAATACTTTCCCACGTTGGGAGAGCACAACGCAACGCTCAAGAGCTTGGTATGTGTAATGCATGAGGACTCAACCTCATATGTTGCAGGCAAATGCTTAAAGCACCATAAGGGGCCTTGTATAGTGCACTTGGCACATGCTATTCATTTTTACAGCTGGGGATTTGTGAGAAGAAAATCCTAGCTTTGTGACTATAAATGTAAACCATGCTGCTAATTCCTCTGTAAACTTTCACTGGGAGAGAAAACAAGCCCGTGCATTCAGAAAAGCAAACAGTTTCATGAGAAAACCCCACGCTTGCTAACTGAGGATGACACCTCTATCTCCTTACCCAGAACCTTAAAGTTGAGTCAAGGAAAAGAGGCCAACAGAAACAAGAAGAGAAAAAAAAAACTTGAAGGTTACACCACTTGAACTGTTTTACATAAAGGACAAGCGGCAAGAAGAGAACACGTTGTGGCTTTGGTTCGTGTATCACACTGACAAAAACAATAGTTTTCTTTTTTTCCCCAGCCCAGTCTAGAGTGTATGAGGCGGGTTTGCTTGAACCACAAACCAACTTGAGGGCCTGCTTTTCTTCTCCTCTAATACACACACACTGATGTGGCATGACAAGATTCTGGTAGCTTCAGCACAAAACACGCACGCATACACCCACAGAAACACTTAACATTCACATGTACTCACATAAACACACGCATACACATGTGGACACGTTTATCAAGCAATCAATCCAAGCAAAGTGTTGAGTGCAACATACATGCAGCATATTCTTCACTGCAACGCTTCTCCAGGCTAAAGCTATATTCTTTTCTTTAAGAGCCCTCACCTCTGCTGAGGCGTCCCACACACATGTTGTCAGGGGATACCACCTCTTGCTTGACAGAGAAGTAGTCCCCCTGCAGCGGGTTGAGGGGCGTGTCCCGTAGGATGACAGCAGGGTATTCACTCTCATACTTGAGCGTCAGCAATTCCTCTGAGCTGATGGGATGAAGCGTCTGGTAGGACTCTGTGATGAAGCCGGGCTCTGAGTATTCAGAAGGAGGGACACACTGAGCATGCTCAACACCGTAGCCTGGAGACACGAAGGAAAACGAGTATAGATAGAAAGCAGTGGGGTAAAACAGTGAAGGAAAAGATCAATCTTAAGAGAGTGGAGTCGTTATCCCTCCTGTGCTGAGCTGCTGCCCAAATGCTTCGCGTATGAATCGTCCATAACAAAACACAGCCTTGAGTGCATGAGTGGAATGTTGCACATTGTAGGCAAGTTTATTGCTAAGATGTAACCTCAGCAAAACTTTAAGTGATGCCATGTTATTTCCTGTGATATATGGTCAATATACACCTACTGCTGGGATCAATATCCATTTTTACACTACACCAAACCCCGATCCTCTTTTATTCACAACAATAAACCTCTTTTTTTTTCCATTTGCATTCATATTCCTGGCATGTATCTCATGCTATTACACCAACTGATTAACAATATAATGAGTGTAATGAGTACTTACTGACAAAGTAGTCTGAGGTATAACGGGATTCCTGGAAGTTGGAGGTCAGTCCATTGATGGGATAATGCTTTGTATCCTCTTCATGAAAAATAGATAGAGAGCGTCAGTGACCTCGTCATTGATTTCATGTATCGTGTAACTGCATCCAGCATTATCAAAAATTAATGACCTGCGCTAAACTGTGTCTTCCTGTTCGGCTCTTGTACGGCAAATGCCAACAGCATATGACCCTCTTATGTATGAGTGAGTTTTTCTCACTTAGCGTATGTGAGATAACAAGTCTTTTAGCGTCTAGCCACTGTCTTGAAACTGTCTTATAATGCCACAAAAAAATGCCAAAAAACAATCAGAAAATCAGTCTTAAGATGAATATGACCTCACCTTTTTGAAGCATTTCTAAATGTTCCCAAAGGATGTCACCAACAAAGTCAGGTGCTAAGTCCAAGAAGCGTTCCTTCCCCATCGCACACAGGCTGGCTCCGTTCATGCAGAATTTGTTGAATTCAACGTTCTTCAGACTAAACTCGTTCACTGTCCACGTTAGCCACTCAGCCACATGGTTTTCTGTCCACTGTCTGGGATCTGAGGGATCAGAATTTGCAATTGTTATTTTGTCATGTCACTGTAATACCTTTTTTTTTGGTTAAAGTAACGTCAAGTATTATAGGTACATTATAGCTCTACTCTCTGAAGTGCATATGTATCTATACATGTATTCAAACATTGACCTTGGCCTATGACTGATATGACATATGGATGAAATTTTGACTTTTTCTGGTTCTAGCACTATGAACTACAGCACATCACAAACCATATTTATTTCTGTTTTCATCACGTGAAAACTCAGGCCTCTGGTTATGCTGCAAACTTTCACACTGCCTCTGTGGTAAATATATCTACCAATAGCAAATCAATCAGCAGCAAACAGGGAGGCAGCAGTGGATGTAAATAGCAGTGGTAATGACAAGCCAAAAGCATAGTTTGCAGATATAGCACCATTACATAGACAAGACACTGAAAGCCCTGCTGTTTCCAAACAGCATGAAGAGGCTCGGCACTCAGCCTGAATTTAGGAAGCTAACTCATTATTTTACTGTCTGTCTCTGTGTCTGGATTCTCTGAAAGTTGGAATGTCAGTCAGTCTGCCTGGACTGAAACGTATTTTAATGTAATGCCATTTTTGGAATAACTGGGTTTCTCCTGCCTTTCAGTGAATCTTTCTAAGAGACACCCTCACTGAATGATCTAAAGCAGGCGATGACGTGAGAGGATCTAATGAATGTGCATCCTTGACATGTGATGTGTTCAGGGGGTTTTGGAGGGGCTCATGCTTTACTGATAAGATTTCATTTCCCCGATGCAAATGTTAATATGGACTAATGAGAGTACAAGCAGCTTACAGTCCTACCTTTGGGAATACCCAGCCGCTGCTGTTCTTTTGTGAAGCCACTGAAGGTGGCCTTCAGAGCCTGCGACATCATCTCTTTACTTCCTGGAGTTAACAGGGGGACATCGCCGCACTCCGGATCTGCCAATCACAAAACAAACAACATTGATTATGATGTTATTTTGAGTAATATCTAGATCTATTTCATTTAGCATTGCGATTACTAACATGATAACGATTACTAAATGCTTTAATCATTATTGACAACAGCTAAAATAATATATCCTGTATAGTACTTCATACCAGTGAAGCTTACTGAATGGAAAATTGAATCGAGACAGAGAGAGGGAGGGGGGGTTGGGAAAAGAGAGACTTGTGAATGTGGTTTTCTTAGCTATTTACACAGACACACACATGCACCCACACACACACAAACAAAGTCAACACAGTTGCATCTGACCGTGATCAACAACATGGTTCAACAATTACCTCCCGTCTAGACAGACACTGTCGCCATATCAGATCCAATTTATTTAAACAAGAGCTGTCACACCATCAGATCTGGCCGCTTTAAAAAAAACTGAGGAAACACTGCATGTGCACGGCTTCTGCAGGCGACACACATGTGCATGTGTCAGGAGACTGAATAGCAGATAGTGGAAATCAGTGCAGTTTATAAACAGAATTTAGAGCATGGTGATTTGGAACAGTTGAAATGCAAGTGGCTTTCCGACTGTCTTTTGTTCTGTTTATTTACAAATACTACAAGCACTAATTTCTCTCCTACACGCACATCCTGGGTGGGACAGCAGCGCCTGGTGCCCATTGGTGACACCATGACCCCTGCTAGCCCTCCTACAATGCTGCCCCCTACACAGTAGGCCTACTGTCACCGGGCCAAGCATGGGGTCAAACATTCTGGGAGGTCAAGGGTCGAGGGATGAGGTGATGATGTCACTGTGACTGCTGGCGGGTGGCTTGGGGAAGATGGGGGTGGGCTGTCTCGAGGGTCTCAGTCACACACTACGCTTTCTGTTCTCTGCTCACAGCCAGTGGGCACCCAGTGGGGAACAGAGATCCCTTTGATGGCTTTAAACAGTGCCTGATGACTCACACTCATCTAATTAGATTTACCAGGCTGCAGAAGTGTGGGATAAGGGGGCAAAACTGAGGAGATGATGAGGGGAGAAGGGGAAAGACCCTCGGGCCACTAACGCTGGAATAGGCCGATAAAAACTATTCAGGCCTTCGACTTTCGCGTCTTTCTTCTTAGCTCATCCTTCTTATTTGCCTCAACTGCACATCGATTAAAATCATTAAAAACCACATCTCAAACGGCTTGGCTTGAAGCCAAACTAGTGATGAGGAAAAGTTGTGTCACTCCTCTGACAGCACCGCCATTCGTCGAACCCAGATGTTCTGGCATCTCCGCTGGCTGGCGGTTTTATCTGCCAGCAGTACACTGGGGCAACATACAGTTCATTCTTGTTTTCACCACTCGCTGACGTCTCGACCTCGTCTGGAATGCACAGCAGCTGTCCCTCCTTTGCCCATGTAACCAATGTCTGTCTGGCTGTTTGTAAAATTAGGTCTCCCACTTTCTTTTTTCTGTCTTTAGCTCTTTTTTTCCCTCTATTTTCTCTCTAAAGAAAGAAACCTCGCAACAGACCCGAGACAGGGGAGAGACAAGAGCTCTTTGCTTCTTCATGTGATTCAATTAGGTCTGTAATAATATATTGCTCTCTGTTAGACTGGTGAACAAGCAGAAAGTTATTCATTCTAGTCAGAAGTAAAAACAAGGATGAAGAGCTGAGCATAAACGCGGTTTTACAGTCTCACATAAGACCTCAGTTAAACTGTTGTGAGACGCAGCTCACACATGAAAATGAAGCGTTTCACAGTGAAAATAAGACCTGAGTGAGTTGTCTTCATGCAAAAGGTGCCCCGACAGCAAGGTTGCCTAGGCCTCCACTGAGCTCATTTTTCTTTTAAGTAGTGTTGGTAGTGCAAAAACGTGCATGTTGCAAACGGCTGCAAACTGCAATGGGACTGGGGGCTCAGACAGTCTGCGCTTTGATGTCAAGGCAAAGGCGAAATGTGGCAGTTTATTTAAGCTGGATCGAGTGGAGTTTGTCTGCACTTTCCAACCATTTACGCCCCTCCCTCCCCCCCTACCTCCCACCCCATTGCTTTTATCAACCCAGCCCCAGCCTGTACTTGCCCACACAGACTTGAACCCACTTTAGCACTAAATCCTCCATCAAAGACACTCAACACCATCTTGCATGAGAACTACCATTAGGCACTCTGAAAGAGAGAAATATGTGAACCATGATTATAGAGCAAATTAAAATGTGAACTGCAATTTATCGGATTTTTTTTTTTTTTTTGCTTTTATTTTGAATGACTTATTCCCCTGTTTATGTTGATTTTGAAGTGGGATTTTTGTTTACTGTCCTATAGCATTTCAAAGCACAATAAATGCCACAACAACTGCACTTTCAACAAAACATTTCATCTTTTTCCTATAGTATGTTATATGTACATACATTGCTTTGTTGTATGTTTATTAAATTCAATCTTAAAAACATGAAGCAGAGGTCACAGCGATGCTGAAAGGCAAACACTAGTCTTAAAAGCGCAATGATAATAGAGTAGTCTCCATGGTGAATGATCCATATGAAAGTTATCTGCGGCAGAGATAATGTACAGTGTGCATCCATTAGTGAGAGAGGCGAGCTTGGATCTAGACAATCTCTAGTAAATGGTGAAGTCCTGATAGGATTTCAATGCCTGCGAGTCCCATTAGATACAGAATGGTCAGTACGTACTGAGAGTCAGAGCATCCACAAGTCATCACTTTCCACATTAGTCCCATCCACTTAGCTCACGAAATGTGGGAGTGAGTGTAAATCACAAGCAGCATCTCGTCGTTCACTTTTTCACCAACAAGACTCTGAGTAAAAACAGCGAAAAGTCTGAAATGAAACCAATTTCTTCTAACGTTGCAGAGGGAATCAGTCTATCTATTTTAAGAATCACTGATGAAGTGAGACTGATGTTTAGTCTGGATGTAAATGTACAGTAAAAGGTATTGATTAGCCACTCCCCTCTTGCCATGATATGATTAATGGACAGTCAGCTGAGTGCGACAGCGATATGGCTCCCTGGGATTCTCACTGGCAGACTGTGCACCTTCACTGTCCAGCCCTTACGACCAAGCCCTCCAACCCAACCTTAGACGGAGGTTTCTATTTGGAACCTTAAGCTGTTAAAGTGACACACACATATAAACGCACATACACACACATGAACTAAATTAGCAGTCTTCTTCGCCTGTGCGCCAGAGCGTGGGCGTGAAATTGGGAATTTTTGCGGCTGGGGCCAAAGTCTATGGGACTGGAACAGGCAGGGCTAGGCAGGGCAGGACAGGGCCGGGGGAAGATAACAAGGGAGCATCTCGGGTGGGTGAGGGGTGACTATGTAGGCTGGGGTGGGGTGGGCGTGGGAGAAGTGGGGGGTGGGGGTGGCGGTGGGGTGGGGGGAGGGGGGGGATTCACGCAGCCTTGTAATATGGAGCCGCATCCAGGACAAGAGAAGCAGGGTGGGCACAGAGAGAGCGAGCGAGAGAGAAAGAGACAGAAGAATGAATGGGAGGTCTCATAAAGCTCCCTCTCTTCTCCTTGTCTCTGGAGTGACATCACAGTGGGATCGGTGCCATCTCCCAGCCTCTGGCGGAGACTCGGTTCATTCATAAAGCCTGGACTGCTGCCTCCACTCAGAATGATGCAATGATACAAGCAGAGCAGGCAACCAGACCCAACAAATAAGGGACAATATGCTTTCTATCATGTGATTGAGCTATAAATAACCCTATAGAGTTTATCTAATGGGTGGGTGTGTGTTGGTGAAAAAAAAAAAAAAAAAAAAAAAAAAAGAAAGAGGCTGACATCTGAAAGGCTATTCAAAGATGACTGAAACACTTTGGGTCAAATAGTCATTTATTTATATCAGTATCAGAGCGTGGGGCGGTTCATGTCTCCTTCTCTATGTCCCTCTGCAGCAGAGTGTATGGTGGGCTTTTTTGTAAATATGTGAATGAGTCCATTTCCTGTGGCTAAGTTGCCACTTCCTGTGGGAAGTGAGGTGAGCTGTGGGTTCAGGTGAGGGTCAAACATTTCAGATCTGCCACTGAGGTCTCATACTCTTCCAGAGTATCCCTAACATGCACACAGGTACATATCAGCAAGGTCACGACGAGGTGCAGGAAAAAAAAAAAAAAAAAAAAAAAAAAAAAAAGAGGGGAGGTCTTGGCGACTTGCCAAGGGCTTATAATCAGCTCTTTAAGTCAGACCAGTCTACCCACAGCAGACCAGGGGTGACAGTGGTATCTGAGAGAGCCTTTGATGGAGATCTGTATCTGGACCCTTGGTCTGAGAACGCGGGGTCATAAACCCAACCATCATGAAGGGGGCCCATTGAACGCCACGGGGTGATAAAGTGGTGGCTGAGGGCTGCAGTGGAGCGAGAGGAGGAGGACGGGGTGGCAGTCTGGTTTTGAGAGGGCTGCTTGTTCAGCCAGCTGCTCCGCTGTTTAGATTTCCATCTCAATGCCAAGGACCAGGAATAGATGTGTAGGCCTGGTTCAAGCCAATGTGAACGGGCCAGACCAGAGCTAGACCCAAGCCTGCTCCAATACGGACCGTGTTAACCTAAAGAGATCCAACTCAGTAACCAGGAGCATCCCACCATCACTGACAGCAGTGCTGAAACACTAGTTTTATTCTTAGGCCTTCACCACTGGCTTCTGGCTGCCCTCTTCAAGCACAAACCTGTGGTGGTGTAAAGCAGCTGTACGGGACAAGGCCACAACTGCTGACATCTGTCTTTGGCCATGAAACTAGAGTTGTCTGGGACGATCACCGCCACAGACACACCGGCTACTGGAGCAGACAATAAGTGAGACTAATACCCCATAGCTGCCTTGCTCTGTCTTTTTTTCTTCCACTCCCTCTATCCCTGAAATCATATTAGCTTATGATGTGAAAGTGCATTAACTCTACTGTTTATGCCAAAGTCTCAGCGCTTGATACGACATTACCTCTGAGTTTGAAATGATCCACACCATCGCCAACAGACGC